CCAGCTCGCTACTGGAAGGACATCAAAGTCATTTAATCCAATCTTCCACCTGGTGCTTGAGCCATCTCTACCACATTCATGGGAAGATGGAGCCAGACCAGCCCCATGGAGCTTCTTACCCCCACTAGGAGTGGGTTTCTCCTGGGGTGGGGACCGCTCAATTCCTCTGCCACATGCCAGCCCTTCTAAGGTTTGAAGTCTTCTCTTTGGGTTTTACTTGAGTCTGTTTGTCTTTAGATCCTTGTAACCTGCCTCAGCCTTAATTCTGAGCTCACTCCACCCCCTTCCCTAGCCCCCATTCACCTGAGTGTGCCCTCAAAGTGTGCTGCCACTGCAGAGCCCCCACCCCACTCCCAGAAAGGCAGCAATTTGCCAAAGCTGCCATTTAAAGCCTGGTCCTTAGGTCCAGGATCATTAGAAAGAAAGCGATCAGGACTGGGTCAGTGGCAAGAGGCGATGGCTTGTGGGTAGGCAATGGCTGGGCTCACCTAGGACACGTGTAGATTTCAGATGGTGGCTGGAGTCTCTTCCCATGTCCTCTCTGCTCTGCCTTTGGCTGGGCGTGGCAATGGCTGTCCTTTTAAGCTTCCTCCCACCAGCTCAGCTGACTCATGATTCAAAGCAGGGCGTCCTCCTAGAGGCCAGGCTGAGTCATCCTACACTGCTCAGTGACAGTGAACAGCAGGCTTGGAAGGGAGAACCCTGCGTCCAGCCAGCCCAGGTCCACACCAGACAGAACCTGCGGAGACTCACTTTCCACTGGCGTGACCAACTGTTCTCCTGCTCTTGCCTGGAGGCACTTCTAAGCAGGAGCCTTGGCCCTGCCCACTTGCCAAAGTTACAATGTAGCTCAGGCCCCATGGAGTAAGAAAGACTGAGCTGCTGCCAAGCCCTGGGGCCTGGGCCAGCGCTGCAAGAACTCTTGGACCCGCTCTAGTCTCCCCTTCCCACTTCCCTTCTCGTCTCTCCCCACTAGCTCCAACCAGGATACAGGCACGATCTTCTGCCCTGTTTGCGTTGGATGAGGTGTCATTTTTGCTGACGGGCTGACCAGTGAGCGGGGGCAGATGAGAATTCTGAAACAGGCACAGTCTCCCCACCCCGGTCATCCTATCTTACCTGCTTCTAGCCCCACTTTTCAGCACCTCCCCTCCCCGAACCGATACTTTGGAAAATGACAAATCTAACCATCCTAAAAAATAATGGGACTTACAATCTTGGGAGTAAACTCTGCACGTGAAAAGAAGCTATCTAGGGAGCACAAGGCTTTGCTCAGAACTCCGCCTTACCCACCTAAATCCTAGCAGGTCTCCACCTGCTCCCTCTGGGAAGTGCACCCTCAGCCCTTGCTTCACAGGCTCAGCACTCTTGGTCTTTGAGCTCTTTGAGGGGGTTAGTCCTGTCTCCCTGAGTAGATAATTGATGCTCCAAGGGCAGGACAGTGCCTCACACCTCTCTGAATTCCCCCAAGATCCTATCCAATGCTGGGAATGTAGAAGCTTCCTTAAATAGCCGTCCATCTGTCCATCTGTCTGTCCACCTATCGATCCATCCACCATCCATCCAGTGCAGGTAGTGCATGCTCACTTTGCACCGACATTATGTAGGTCTGAGGATACAGACTAGTTACTATCAACATGGGAACTTTGTGGTGGGGGATTGATTGGTAAGCCCAAATAAATTATTTTTATTAATACGTATGCTTAGCACCTATAGAACACTTGCAGTTTACAAAATGTCATTATAGCCCGGTGGACTCCTGAGTCAAGAACAACTAGTTAGTGGCAAGCTGGGACTGGAACCCAGATCTGTCTGACTCTGATCATTGCTTGCCTAGCATTGCTGCACTGTGCCGGGAGAAATATCTATGATTTAGAACAAGAGTGATTAATTTCCTACTCCAGGGGTTCACTTTCCCTGATGAGACCTTCTGGCCAATATGATTACATCCCAGAAGGTGCCCTGTTGATATGGCAAGGGGACTCCGGGTGCCGGCAGGACTGAGCCCTCCTGAAGGGGTCCGGTTTCTGGCAGGCCCTGGAGGCTTGGGCAGCAGCCCCACCCTCTTCTGACTAAGCTGGCAGCTGCGTTGTGCCTGGGACTGACGCCCTCGTGGATCCCCAAGTCGGGCCCCAGTTCCCCGGACAGGCAGGGAAGTCCTTTCTCTCTGTCACGCCCTGGGAGTTTCTCCAGGGTGGGGGTGTTTGGGCTAGATCTAAACCCCGCGGCTGCCAGATGCTAAGCCTCATCCTCACATCACCCGTCTCCTCTCCTTCCCCAAACACCCAAATAGCTCTGGAGGCTGCTGGGACAGACAGAAGGACTGAGAAAAACTTACGGGGTACTTACAGCTGTGGCGGTGCAGCACTCGGCCACCAAGGGCAGGTGGGAGTTCTCTCTAGTCTGGAGGTCTCCTCTCAGAACAACAGTCTCAGCCGGGCCAGAGGAAAAAGGCTTTGTGAGCAAAAAAGAGTTTGTGGAGGTCAGTTCACTTCGTGCTGTTTTCCTCCTCTCCCTCTCG